TGTGGAGCACAGGCTCCAGACGCGCAGGCTCAGCGGCCATGGCTTACAGGCCTAGCCACTCCGCGGCATGTGGGATCTTCCTGGACCGGGGCACGAACCGGTGTCCCCTGCATCGGCAGGCAGACTCTCAACCACTGCGCCACCAGGGAAGCCCCGATAGTAGTTTCTTTTGATGGACTAAGCCAGCCTTGTTTCCAGGGGACTGTCTTGTTTTTCGAAATAGAGAAGTCCTCTAATTAATCTATTGTGCCACATGTTTCAGAGTCACAAAGACAATGGAGGTTCACCAGAACTGCCTTCATGTTTGAAAGATATTTTTGCTGGGTATAGAATTATAGGTTGACACTTTTTTTTTCTTTTAGCACTTTAAAGATGTTATTCCATTTTCTTCTGGTATTCATTGTTTCTGATAAAAAGTCAGTTATAATTCTTATTGTCATTCCCCTGTATGTAACGTCTTTTTTCCCTTGTTTAAGATTTTCTCTTTGCTTCTTAGCAGTTTTACTATGATGTGGCTAGGTGTGGTTTTCCTCATATTTATCTTGCTTCAATTCATTGGATTCCATGGTCTTGTGGGTTTGATATTTTGGTCAAATTTTGGAAATTTTGAGTCGATATTTCTTCAGATAATTCTTCTGTCCAATTCTCTTTTTCCTCTCCTCTAGAATTCCTATTCCATATGTGTTAGACTGCTTGATGCTGTTCTACAGGTATTGAGACTCTTCATTCTGCACCTGCCCTCCTCCAATCTAGACTTTAGCCTGGTTGACTCTATTGTCTTGTCTTCAAGTTCACAAATCTTTTTTTGTGTCCAAGCTGCTATAAATTCCATTCAATAATTAAAAAAATTTTTTTTCAGATATTGTAGTTTTCAGTTCTAGGATATCGTTTAGTTCTTTTTAAAAATTTTCCTTCTTTCTCTTGAAATCTCCCATCTCTTCACTCATTATATCTACCCTTCCCTATAGATTCTTTAACATATTTCTACTTTTTAAAGAAAATAATATTGAACCCACCCTTTTTCTCCTAGGATAAGTGTCTTGTTAAGTGGTGACAGAAGAAAAATTTAGCTTTATAACAAAATATTTGTTAATAAGTTGCTGTATATCTTCTTTGGTGAGGTGTCTTTCAGATCTTTTGCCATTTTAAAAATTGGGTTATTTTTGTTGTTGTTTAGTTTTAAGTATTCTTCGTATATTTTGGATACAAGTCCTTTTTCAGATATATGTATTGCAAGTATTTTCTCCCAGTCTGTGGCTTGTCTTTTCATTCTCTTAACAATGTCTTTTGCAGAGCAGAAGTTTTTTATTTTAATGAAGTCTAACTTATCAGTTTTTTTCTTCCATGGGTCACACTCTTGGTGATGTATTAAGATTCATTGACAAGCTCCAGGTCACCTACATTTTCTCCTGTGTTATCTTATAGAAATTTTATAATTTTGCATCTATCATTTAGGTCTGTGATCCATTTTGAGTAATTTTTGTGGAAGATGTAAGATCAACACCTATATCTATCCATTTTTTTAATGCAAATATCCAGTTGTTCCCAGCACCATTTATTGAAAAGACTATCTTTTCTCCATCGATTTGCCTTTGCTCCTTTGTCAAAGATCAGTTGACTATATTTATGTGGTCTGTTTTGGAGCTCTATTCTATTTGTCTAGTCTATCTGATATATTTATCTGTAGTTTCACTAATACCACACTGTCTTGATTATTGTAGCTTGTGTCTTGAAGTTAGATAGTGTCCATTCTCTAACTTTGTTCTTCTTCTTCAGTATCATATTGGCTATTCAGATCTTTTGCCCTTCCATATAAACTTTAAAATTAATCTGTCGATGTCCACGAAACAATTTGCTGGCATTTCAATTGGGATTACATTGAATGTATAGATCAAGTTGGGAAGAACTGACATTTTGATAATACTGAGTCTTCCTATCCATGAACATATAACATCTCTCCATTTATTTAAATCTTCTTTGATTTCTTTCATCGGAGTACTGTGGTTTTCCTCATACAGAGCTTTTGCATATTTTGTTAGGTATATTCCTAAGTAATTAAATTTTTTGGTGCTAATATAAATGGTATTTTTCTTTTAAATTTCAAGTTCCAGTTGTTCTTTGTTGGCATATAGGAAAGCAATTGGTTTTTATATTTTTTATATGATTATTTTATGTATTAACCGTGTGTCCTCAAACCTTGCTATAATTGCTCATTATTCCAGGTTTTTTGGTTTTGTTTTTGTCAGTCCTTTTAGGTTTTCTATATAGACAGTCATGCCATCTGAAAAAAAAGACAGTTTTATGCCTTTCTTCACAGTCTGTATACTTTTTATTTCATTTCTTGTCTTATTGCATTAGCTAGGACTCCCAGTATGATAGTGAATAGGAGTGTTAAGAGGGGACCTCTTTATCTTGTTTCTGATCTTAGTGGGAAAGCATCAAATTTCACACCATTAAGTGTGATGTTAGCTGTAGTGTTTTTTGTAGATGTTCTTTGTCAAGTTGAAGAGGTTCCCCTCTATTCCTTTGCTGAGAGTTTTTATCATAAATGGGTATTGGATTTATTAATTATTGATTCATTTTCTAAAAGATATGGGCCCTTGGCACATTTTAAGTTGGGTTTTGTCTTTTTATTATTGAGTTGTATGAGTTCTTTATTATTTGGATACAAATACCATATCAGATATTGATTTGCAAATATTTTTTTCCCATTTTGTGGGTTGTCTTTTCACATTCTTGATGGTATCCTTTGAAGTACAAAAGTTTTAAATTTTGACAAAGTCTAATTTGTCTATTTTCTTCCTTCATTGCTTGTGTTTTTGATGTCACATCTAAGAAAACATTGTTTAATCCAAGGTCACAAAAATTTACTCCTGTGTTTTCTTGTAAGAGTTCTTACATTTAGGTCTGTAATCCATTTTAAGTTCATTTTTTGTATATGGTGTGAGGTAGAAGTCCATCTTCATTCTTTCACATGTGAATATCTAGTTGTCTTAACACACATTTATACTTTTTAAAGTCTTTGCTAATTATAAAATCTAGGTCAGATATGGATCTGTTTCTATTGACCAGTTTTTCTCTTAACCATGGAGTATGTTTTCCTGTTTCTTCATATATATAGCTTTTCTTGTTTATTGGACTGTTATGTATAATACATCATAGGAACTCTAGACCTGCATTGCCTTCTTGTGAAGAACGTTAATTTTTGTTCTCACAGGCAGTTAAATTCTGACAGATCATCTTGACCTTGTGGCAGCTAGGTTTTATGTTTTATTGGGGCAGGTGTATTTCAGTTTTGCTCTTAGTCCTAGAGCTAATCTCTTAGTCCTAGAGCATAATTTTTATTCCTAAGGTATGGCCTTTTAGGTGTTTCACTGGAAATGCCCAAATGTTTACCAAGCTCCTCTAATTTGGCAGAACTTGAACTCCAAGCTCTATTTCTCCTCCAGTGGGCAGAAACGGAATTTCTGTTCAACTCTCAGTTTTCCAGCTGTATTTTACTCAGTCACCTTGGAATATTACCTGATTCTGTGCAATTCAGGAGCCAGCCAAGAAATTGAAAGGAATTTATATGTGGATTTGGGGACCTACACCCTTATGGCTTCCCTCTTACTGGGGATTTTTCCTTTTCAGTTTCCAGCATCATTGGCAGTCTCAAACTCTATTTTCCACTTCCTCAGGCAAATAAGACTATGGATTTCTTCTGGAGTTCTATCTGCCCCATGATTTGCCAGCTAGGGAGTTTCCTTAACTACATCAACATGGATTTACTCTGGTGTGGTCCCCTTATTTCAAGAGTTGGATCCTTTCCAGTTTCTGCCAGCTTTTGATAGCTTTTCTAGCCTTCAAACAGTTGTTTTAACACATTTTGTTCAGGGAATTCCCTGGCGACCCAGTGGTTAGGACTCTGCACTTTCACTGCTGAGGGTGCGGGTTCGACCCCTGGTCGGGAAAGTAAGATCCTATAAGCCGTGTGGCGCGACACGGCAGGCAATCAATCAGTCAATCAATCAATAAAATAAAATATTTTGTTCAGAGTTTATTATCGTTATTGGCAAGAGGATTAGTCCCATACAAACTACCCCACCATTTCCGAAAGCCAGAAGGAGCAGACTAAGGAATTTGGACTTTATGCTGCAGGCTAGAAGATTTTAAATGGAGGATTAATAGGTTGAGTTCATGCTTTGGGGGAGATTAGTATGGGGATAGTTTGTAGAATGGATTGGTGAGGGGAAAGCCAAGAGACGGGGAAGCAGTCAGGAGACCCCTGCAGTAGTTCAGGAGAGAGGGGACCAAGGCCTCAACTGGGAAAGAGAGACAGTAGAAATGGAAAAGTATGGTCACATGGGGGAGATTAAAAGAAAAGATCCAGTTTCTGGGAGGGACTATGGGGATTTCCCACATGGAAGGGTTTTTTTGTTTGTTTTTGTTTTTGTTTTTTTTTGCCACACCATGGCATGCGGGATCTTAGTTCCCCGACTAGGGATTGAACCCACGCCCCCTGCAGTGGAAGCATGGAGTCCTAACCACTGGACCGCCAGGGAAGTCCCTGGAAGGGTTTTTTAAATGACCAGTGAGGATTACCATCATTCCATATCAGAGAGTCTGGCCAGGTTAAAGTTTATTCCAGGGTGTGTCTCTGTGGAGGCTTGAAAACCTTATTCACCTGGTGTTTTAGTCCTGGGCAAATGAGCTGACTGAAACCTGAGTCACTGCTGGTCTTCAGGTCTCCCTGGCTCACCCGAGGGCTATTGAAGGCCATCTAAAGTCTACTTAGAGCTTGAGCCTGGGTCAGTTGTGGAAACAGCCTGTTTGCCCCCAGCCCCAAGGTCTGGAGTAGAACTGGACCAACCTGGGGAAAGATAGGAAAAGGGGTTACCAATGCAGGCCACTCTGCCTGGACACGTCTCAGCATCCACTGTCGGGGCCTGTTCTCTTCAAGTTGGCAGCCATCCATCCTTGACCTTTTCTGCTAGCTTTGTTGCTTTCTCCTTCAACAGGTCAAATGGATGATGTACTGGATTATATTTGCACTTTTCACCACAGCAGAGACATTCACCGACATCTTCCTTTGTTGGTAAGTACTGCAGGAATTGGGACTTTTCCAGGAGAGATGTTGCCAAGTGTCAGGGAGAGGTGGGAAGGTCTGAAAGCAGTCTCAAACCTTATTAGCACAGAGAAGCAGGTGCAGGAATGCTAACTGGAACATTTCAAATCAATTAGTCTGTAAAATTGTTCTTCAAGTAAATATTTATTGAATGACCATGTAAGAGCAGGTATTGTTCTTACGGTGATATAATGATGGGCAAGATAAACACAATTCCTCAATGAATGGAGCTGGTAAAGAAGCATTCTTATGTTAAAAAAAATAAAAAGGAGAAAAACAGTACACAAAAGTGTGCAATAAAACTAAGTTTCTCTCATAAAACGAAGTTTCTCCCCTACACCATTCACTCTCACCGTTACTGCTTTTCACAGTTGTATATACTTTTAAAATATGTATGCGTGTGTATACGTACACACATATACACATACTTTTCCTTTTTTAAAAAACAATAGTACTGTAGTATAAACAGTTCTCACTTTGTTTCTTAAATTTATTTTTGAAATACTTTGACGTAAGCATAAATAGATCTACCTACTTTTTTAAAGGCCACATAGAATTTCATGGTATAGATGGATCATAATTTATTTAATCAGTCCCCTTTCGATGGACAGCTTTTTCTCTCTCATAAACAATGCAGCTATTACAGCAATGGACCAAGCGAAAATCATAAGCTAGGTGTTTGTATTCATATATTGTGTCTTAGCTGAAAGAGGCTGTGAATAATATACAGTATCCTGTTTGTATCTAAAGGGTCTGAGTTTGTGCACATGTGAATGTGTACTAAAAATAGTGTGGAAAATACTTGTCTGTTAGCAAAGGTTATTTCCGCAACTTGGGATCATGGGGTCAGTTTCACATTTGCTGTGTTGTGTGAATGTTTTATCATGATCAGGTTTCATCAGGGAAGATAATAAAGATATTTCCATTCTGGGAAAAAAAAAAGTTCTTACCCCAGAAAGGATTAGCCTGGACTTACCCTCTGGGATGTCCTAGATCAAAGACATCCACTTCTCTGAACACCACTTCACTGAATCCTGTCTTGGGTCAGTGGCCTTAATGACCTCAGTGTGTAGTTTTTCCCCTGAAGGAGCCTGGCTTTCATCTCTACTGGGAGAGATAGATGTCTCAGCTCTTATGGCCTTAAGCTGGAAGGAAGGAATCTGGATTACCTAATTCAATATGCTTGTGCCACTCTGCCCTGTCCTGTGCCCAGATAAACAACAGACTGAAGACGGGGCTGAGTCTCCAGGACTGGAGATGGAACTCTGCTGAGCCATTTTTTCATCTTCCCCAGACCCCAGAGGCTGGCACTAGGAGGTGGACCTCATTTTGTGCAGAGCTACAGTGGGGAGGTTCCTGTCTGTCCTGCAGAGATGAGAACAGGCCAGACCCAGTGAGGATTGTGTAGTCGATTAAAGAGCATGGCCAGCACTTCATGTCATGCAGCCTTCTTAATGATGCCCTCCTTCTGTCTGGTGCCAGGTGGCCTCCTGCTGTCCTCCTATCCCTTATCATGAACAAAGCGGGGAGAGCGTTCATCTCATGAGCTCTTTCCCGGGGTTTCGGGCATTTCAGCCTTGCTGCTCTTGCCTGGGTGGAAATCCTGCCTGATGATGGATATGCTGCTCCCTGGTAGCTGGAATATGTTTTACCCATGGCCCTGGAATTTTAGTCTCATGCCTAATAAGTGCTCAACAACTGTTTCTGGGATGGATTTGATTTTGATTTGGGGAGATGTATTACTTTTCTTTTTTTTTAATTAAATTTTTGTTTATTTATTTATTTTTGGCTGCATCGGGTCTTGGTTGTGGGATCTTCATTGCAGCACATGGGATCTTTCACCGCGGCGTGTGAGCTTCTCTCTAGTTGTGGTGTGTGGGCTCTGTAGTTTGTGGTGCGTGGGCTCAGTAGTTGTGGTGCGCGGGCTTCGTTGCCCCGCGGCATGTGGGATCTTAATTCCCCGACCAGGGATCGAAGCCACATCCCCTGCATTGGAAGGTGGATTCTTAACCACTGGACCACCAGGGAAGTCCCAGTGTATTTACTTTTCTGTTGCTGCAGTAACAGATTACCACAAATTTAGCAGCTTAAAACAATACAAATTTATTATTTCACAGTTTCTGTGAGTTAGAAGTCCAGGTAGAGTCAACTGAGAACTCTGCTGAGGAACTCACAAGGCCAAAACCAGGGTGTGGGTCAGCCTAGGCTCTTACCTGGAGTCTGGGGAGATTCCACTTCCAGCCTCATTCAGGTTGTTGGCAGAATTCAGTTCCTTGTGGCTGTAGGACTGAGGTCCCCATTTCCTTGACGTGTGCCACCCTGTCATCTTCAAGCCAACAATGGCACGTCATCTCCATCTTCTTTTGTTACCAGCCAGAGAAAGAGCTCTGCATTTGCTTTTAAAGTCTCAGGTGATTAGATTAGACCCACCTCAGTAATCAAGTATAATCTCCCTATCTTAAAATCAGCTGAGGGCTTCCCTGGTGGCGCAGTGGTTGAGAGTCCGCCTGCCGATGCAGGGGACATGGGTTCGTGCCCCGGTCCGGGAAGATCCCACATGCCGCGGAGCGGCTGGGCCCGTGAGCCATGGCCGCTGAGCCTGCGCGTCCGGAGCCTGTGCTCCGCAATGGGAGAGGCCACAACAGTGAGAGGCCCGCGTACCGCAAAAAAAAAAAAAAAAATCAGCTGAGTAATTACCCTAATTACATCTGTAGAATCCCTTTGCTACATAAGGTAACATATTTGTGGGTAACATGGGGAGGAAGGCCATAGGATCAAGGTCATGTGCTGCATGCCACAGGAAGGCATCTGATAACTAGGGTATTTGGAGCATGTGCACAGGTATGGGTAGAATCCCCCTCTCTTTCTGACCCATGTGGAGGCCTCATCTGGTCCCTCGTTAGTCCCTCTGAACTGGCGCTGTCCATGCAGTTTGTGGGTGGAAAGTGAGGGTCCCTTGCCTCTCTCCTGGCACCGTGGGCTCTGCTTCTGCAGGGAATGGTTCGTTGGGGCCCTTCCCTGCCTGCCTCAGCTCACAGCCTGGACATACCCTCAGTCTGCTTTCTCTTTTCCTGCCAACCTCCAGGTATTACAGATCATGGTCTCCTTCTGGGAGAGTCCTTCCTCTCCATCCTGCCTCTCGCCCTGGGAATGGACATGGGATAGACCCATCAGACACAGGGCCCCCTTTCCCTTCCAGGGAATGGACACCAACTCAGCTGCTCTAAGCTCTGTTTATAATTGAAAGGGGGGCGGGGTAGTCCTGCACCTTCTGGCTTCCTAGAAGCATCTTTAACTTTTGTTTACTTCCAGGCCTGGAGATCACCCCTCATGTGTATACTCTTCCCGTCACTCTTCACTCATCCCCATCCTGCTCTCTCCACCCCTCCACCAGGGCAGTTCCCTCTTCATTGGTAACTTTTAAAAACTTTCTGTGTTGATGAAAACAGCAATTGTGTATGGTCACAGAAGAGATAGGATGGGGGCTTCCCTGGTGGCGCAGTGGTTGACAGTCCGCCTGCCGATGCAGGGGACGTGGGTTCGTGCCGGGTCCGGGAGGATCCCACGTGCCGCGGAGCGGCTGGGCCCGTGGGCCATGGCCGCTGTGCCTGCGCGTCCGGAGCCTGTGCTCCGCGGCGGGAGAGGCCACAACGGTGAGAGGCCCGCGTGCCGCAAAAAAAAAAAAAAGAGAGAGAGATAGGATGGTGGCTTTTTTCACAATTTGTATAAGTGATTTCATTTAATTTTTTAAAAACTATAAAATAATACATACACATGACAAAATAAAATTGAAACAATACACTAAAAAGTAAGTAGGTGCCTCTTCTTGTCCTCTATTCTTCTATGTTGGTGGCTTAAGGGCAGGATTCTTTTTTCCGCTGTAGTGTGTGTGTGTGTGTGTGTGTGTGTGTGTGTGTGTCTGTCTGTCTGTCTGTCTGTCTCTCTGTCTGTCTAGCCTCCCTCCGTCCACGCTCTTCCCTTCCTTTCCTGTCCTGGCTAAGATACACAGCCTTTACTCCTACCCAGGATATCTCGTTCCACAGTAGGGAGGTAGGGAGGTTTCCCACTTACGTTCTGTGGCGTGAGGCTTTAGATTTCAGCAGGAGCTCTCAGCTTCTTTTGATACCACGGGGCAGCTGGCATCCCCAGGGACCTTCTCAGGTGGCCTGCAGGCCTTACCGACAGTCACTGGCAACTTAGACTAAAACTTGAGGCCCACTCAGTCCTAAGCTCATTTCCTCACTTGAATCTGCAAAGGGGAGAGGGCCCTCACCCACCAGAGAGTAATGTGTAGAGACTTCTGAGAGATTTGCTTTGGGTCTACCAAGGTTGAGCTGATGCCAGGTACATAGTAAGAATTATGAAGTGGATGTTTGTGGGCGGCGGATGGAGATTTGGAGAGAAGCAAGGCTCTTGATCCTCACTAAGACATTGTTCCACATCACATTGCACATTATGGGGTCACCTGTTGGTTTCCGCTCTCCTGCTAGATGATGAACCCCTAAGGGCGAGGACATGCCTAACCTAGCTTTGGTTTCCCTCTACTGCTCAGCACAGACCTTTCACCTCATAGCTTTTCAATAGAATTTTCCCAACTGAATGAATCAATCAATAAGCTAGTTGTTATCTTTGAGTAGAAAGTGGGGCAGGAAAAACGCTTGAGGAGAGAGATTGAAAGAAAACGTAGTGATTGCTAACAGTAGGAGGCAGTCTTGAGACTCGAGTTTTGCTACTAAGACTCTAAAGGAGCCTACTGTTAACCAAAGTCCTGGAAAGGTGGAGAATTAGCAGGCTGTAACCTCTTCCTCTTTTCTTCTGTGGATATCCATGTCAGCTTTCTGCCCAAGGAACAAACCCATTCCACTGTGATTCTTCTATAACTAGTTGATTTCGCTTCAAAGGAAGCTCCATCCCCCAAGGTGGACAGGGGAATACAGAGGAGCCCTCTGTGTCCTGGTCCAGAGATGCCAGGGAGTGCGGTATCTTGGTGGTCTGAAGACCGCCAAGTGAAGTCTGCTACCGCAATTGGTCATTGGAGATGCTTTGCCAGCCTGACAAGAGAAGATTTGGGAGGTGAAGCCAGAAGGTTAGGAGGCAGGAAGGTTTTCAAAGGCTGCGTCAGCATGGATGGGGCACACGGGAAAGATCCTGAAGAACAGGAGGCTCAGGAGCAGGCTGGCCAGAGAATAAAGGGTCTCTGGCAGCCCAGAAGGATTGCTCAGGATCTAACGTTCTCCCCCCCACACCCCCGTCCAGCCTGGGGCAGGCTCTTACGGTTGGTCCTACGCTGTGAGGGTGTGACTGTGGGCCATCAGCCTCTTGTACCTGTGTTTGCACAGAAGTACAACCTCTATCTGTAAATTAGATGCCCGCAGAAATTCCACTTCTGGGCATTTTCCTAAAGGCATGTTAGCATAGGTACATAAAGCATGCTCCAGGAGGTTCACTGCAGCTCTCTCGTAGTAGCCAAAGACTGTAACCTTTTGTAAATATCCATTCAGGGGGGTCTGGGTAGATGCTCACGCCCCCATACACAGCCATCAAGAAGAGTGAATAATAAGAACCTGCTGTATAAAAAAATAAATGAAATGAAATTCAAAAAAAGAAGAGTGAGGCCTGGGGAATTCCCTGGCGGTCCAGTGGTTAGGACTCCGTGCTTTCACTACCAGGGCCCGGGTTCGATCCCTGGTTGGGGAACTAAGATCCCGCAAGCCACATGGTGCAGCGAAAAAGAAAGAAATCCCCAAAGTGTACTGTTAATCGTGTGTGTGCAGCAGGGGGAAGCAAGGCGTAGGAGGGGGTGCAGAGAATGCCACTAGGTGAGCATGGGGGACATTACGGGAGTCATATGTACCCACACAATTGTGTATCTTAGCCCTGGTCCACTTCTGGAAGGACGCACAAGACACTGATGATGCTTATGCCTTTGGAAAAGCATCCAGGATGGGAAGGAGACTCTGCTATATACTCTTTTGGACTTCTAGAATTTTTTAAACTCTGTGCACGCATGACCTATTTTTTACAAAACCCGTCTTTTACATAATAAACAAAAGAGCAGCAGTGTGACAGAACCCCTGGGATTATCCGCGAATCTTGGGTTGGTTCCTGAGCTTCGCAGGTTCCTTTGTCCCTTGGGGCTGACAAATACTTGTTTTCCAGACCAAACTTCCTTCACTGTTCATCACCAGAGTGTTCAATTACGGGAGAATCACACCTCTGTTCCTTCAGCTCCTTCTCTTTTCTGGCTGTGAAACATTAAGCAATCTTGACATGAAAGTGTCCTTTAGGTGCTAAGGGAATATTCAGGAAGGGCCTGCCGGAAGCAGAAGGCAGTGAACTAGGATGAGGAAAGGAGGAGGGGGTGGGGCCGCTGATTGGAGTGACGTGAGAGTTAAAGGGCTCTGAAATGACTTGCTAGAAATTGCTCTTTGCTTTGGCTCTCTTATCAGGGAGGATGCCTGGGAGGGGTTTACTTTTCTGATTCCTCAGACTAGCCCAGGTGGCACTTTCCCTCATCGCATCTGTTTTAATGGTACCCAGACTTTGTTTTCAGGTCTGGTAAGACATGCAGACACAGAAATGACTATCGTGAAGGAATAAGTTCGTTATATTCACAGATCCCTAGAGGTATAGACCGCTGCGCAGAGCCACATGGGGAAGCACGGGGCTGATCAGGAAGCAGAGGCAGGAAGTGTGGGCAAGAGACTGTATTGTGGTTTCCATGGGAGAGGCAGTCTCTCCAGAGTCAGCGAGGTCCCAAGATGTCAAAGCATCAGAGGACAGAAAATTTTAAAATATGGTTAATACACATCCGGCCTGCCAAGTATGGTTGCACAGGTTGTTCATAGCACAAGATATCTGGCCAAGGAGGCGAGCGGAGCTGAAATTCGGATGAAGCCCTGTTTGCAAGCCATGTGCTCCCAGGACTGCATCCAGCTGAAGGACTTGGCTTTTTCTCACACGTGCAGAGGCACCACGTGGGTCAGCAGAGGCCCGTGATGGCACTCGTCTCAGGTTGCTATTCTATATTAATCGTGATGATTTGAGCAATCTCTGTTTCCTTGACTGGACTACCAGTTCCAAGGACGCCAGAACCTTGTCTATGTTTCCCGCTAGACTGGAAGCTCCAAGAGAGCAGGGGTCAGGTCTTCTTTGCTTCCCACTGTCTCCTTGGTGCTCAGCACCGGCTGCCACATATGGGTGCTGGGTGGGTGTTTATGGGATGCATAAACACACGGCACACAGGACTTTAAACTTCAGTATCGTATGTTATCTGTACCCTGAACTCTTCTTTCTTTTGGCACCAAAAAGATCAAGACCTTTTTGCCTGCTGTTGGTTTTTTTAATTAAATTTAATTTTTTAAATTGAAGTAGAGTTGATTTACAATGATGTGTTTGTTTCAGGTGTAAGCAAAGTGATTCAGTTATATATTTTTTTCAGATTCTTTTCTCTAATGGGTTATTACAAAATGTTAAGTATAGTTCCCTGTGTTATACAGTAGGTCATTGTTGGTATCTATTTTATATATAGTAGTGTGTATATGTTAACCCCAAACTCCTAATTGATGCCTCCCCGCCTCCCCGCCAGCCTGCTGTTGGTTTGAATAGGGTGAGTAGCATCCTCTTTCCTGGCAAGCATCGGGCTCCCGTCCCTGCCTTTTTGGGGGACTAAGAAGATAGCCGAGGAGGGGAGGCTTTACTCTCAGTCTGGCGATTCTTTGTCAGCTCCGCCCTATGGTAAATCCTGTGTCTGTGCCTTCGTGGCCTCCAGTGAAGAGTGAATGACCGGGAAATTGGGCACGGCTGGTTGTGGCATCTGGGCCTACAGGAACCCCGGCTCCAACCGAAATGAGCAGAGCTTGGACGGAAGCTCCAGCTGTTGTCAAGCACGGTCATAGGGTGATTGCTGGAGAGACCCCAGCTCCCTGGCTTGCTTGACAAGGAAAGAAAACACGAACCGGCTTTGGGAATTCCCTGGTGGTCCAGTAGGTTAGGACTCAGTGCTTTCTCTGTTGAGGGTCCAGGTTCAATCCCTGGTTGGGGAACTAAGATCCCACAAGCTGAGCCATATGGCCAAAGAGGAAAAAAAAAAAAAATGAACTGGCTTCCAAGGGGCCTTGGGATTGTGCCTTGGATGTGCTTGTGTGTGCATACACCTTCATGGGAATCTGGGGGCCAGGCGGCCGTGTGCAGGCAGGAGAGGTGTCTGTGCCCCCCGGTCTCATGTTTCAAAGACTCAGGGCGGAGTTGCTGAGAACCTAATGGAATGTGTATTTTCTCATCTCTCTCCAGGTTTCCATTCTATTATGAACTAAAAATAGCATTTGTAGCCTGGCTGCTGTCTCCCTACACAAAAGGCTCCAGCCTCCTCTATAGGAAGTTTGTACATCCCACGCTGTCCTCAAAAGAAAAGGTAATTTATGTTGCTCTGCCTGCACTCCTTCCAGCGAGTGAAAAAATTTTAAAAAGTGATTAAAAAAAAAAAAGGCAGGTTGTTTTATTGCAGGAGGCTCTTAATTGACTCTTATTCCCCCCTTCCAACATTTGTTCCTTCTAATCTTTCTTTTTTAAGTCTATTTTTATGACCTGTTTAGAAATAGTGGTGAAATTCTCCCAAGGATGTTATTCATCATTATTTATTGTAAGACATTTCCATACATTGAAACAAAAAGCAGAAGAGAGTCACTCATAATTCAACTCCCCAAACTGAATTTCCTTCCTTTCATCAGGCTCAGCCCCTATCCTTTTGCAGATAGGATGTTTACATAGACTATTAAAATACTTTAAAAACTTAACATAAGCAGGAACGTTGAAGCCTAGAGAGATTAAATGATTTGAACTTGTACCCAGATAGCTACTAACAGAGACTGGAATATAATACATTTCTAGTATGTTTGCTTTATTGTTCAATGATAAAACGTATGCTACTAATGAAATACCTGCTACTTTAGTAATTATCAGTCAATAAGTATTAATGAGAATAGTCATAATAATTTGTTTCACGCTATTTATCTTTTGTGTTTGTTTCGCTTCAAAGTACTTCACATACATCCTTGAAATGAAAATGCAGGTGTGTCTATTGTCAGAGATGGAAAAAATAAGATAGGGAGAGATTGCAGGAAGGGGTCAACAATAACTAAGGATTCAAGGGGGAATTACAACTTACACCTCTTGAAAAGAAATTTAAGCTACTTATAAGATAATGTCACTGTCTATAAAATTATTTTTTGTTTAACATCTCCACTGAACCTAATCTGCCGGATTATTCCATTGTTTTCTTAAGATTTCATACAGTAACAGATGCTGAGACCACTAAAATAAACATGACCTCTGTCTTATTTATTTGTTTGGTAGCTCCTTTTTTCAGTTCAATCCAGTCTGTGAAACGTTTCTTTAAAATAAAATTTTAAGCGTACATTAAAAAAAAAAAAGCCACTCCAAACCAAGAGGCAACAACAAAAACGCTGAGCAGATGCAGTATTTATCTTCTGAGATCTTAGACATGACGGCATAGCATCCTTTCTCACTTGGTCTTCCTAGTGACCCACGACAATCACCACACATAGTATATAGTTCCTTCTGTTGACTTCTTATCTTAGAATAAATTCTCAGGACTGGGATTACTGGGTCCAACATTGTATAACTCATTAATGATATTATATGACTTTCTAAACTGATTGTGTGGTAGGATCCTACAGCATGAATTAGGAGCACTGTTGGTGGCTTGATATATTCATTTCTATTGCTTCTGAAAGTTGGATACTTTGGACTTCCAGGGGAAGCCTTTGAGTATATCGGTTGGATGAGCAGGCTACTGTAGACGTTTCTGAGAATCCGTTTAGGAACTAGGACACACTTCCCGTCTCAGAGGGTGGATTTTGAGGAACGGTAATCCCTGTCTCGACCTGGTTATCAAATCTCTATTCTTCCTGCTTCCCTTTCTCCAAACGCTGGACTTACCCTGAAGCTGCCAGTGTAATTTCCATGGAAATGAAGGTGACTGACTCTTAAGAGCTGCCAGGAATCACTTCTGGAGTCAGCCAGGGGTCGCAATGGAGACTTAGTGTGGTGACTTCTTGAAGAAGCTTAAACAAGGACAAGGCAGGGGGTTGACTGCCCGCCTGCATACCCCAAAGTCAAGGAAGTGCACCGATGTGCTGAACTTCAAATGAAACGGAGACCAAGTGTCATTGACTGAACTCTGCAATGAGCTCCTGTGATTCCAAAATAACTGTTTTCTTCAAACAGTGACAACCACCACCCAAACCAAACAAACAAAAAGAATGAGCCAACGTTGATTCAAATTTGAACTAAACCAATATCTTACTTGGTCTCGGTCCCTGAAGTAGATGTCAATCCTCTTTCCCACCTCACCTTTACCTTGTGGTATGATGCTGGATGACTTCTAATTTATGCTTTTATTTTTTTATCTGTAAAATGATCTTCTCTATCAACAAAAATAACACCTATTTCTTTCTATGTCCTAATCCCTCCCATCGATATATACATGGGGAGGGATATGGATATCGTATGAAATAGCTGTGGAATAACAGAATTTCAGAGCTGCCGGGGCCTGACCTCCTTGAGATAAGGAAGATGACAATGGTTCTTGCTTATTGAAACCAGCCACTGTGTCAGGTGCTTTACTGGAATGATCGCATGTAATCCTCACCTTGCTCCACAAGTTAGGTGCTACCAGGGTCCTCATTTTTCAGAAGACAGAACCGTGAATAGAGGCTAAGTACTTGCCCAGGTCTGACAGCCAGTTAGTGGCAATGCCAGAGAGAATGAGTGGTTGGGCACAAGCCCCCAGGCTCAGCGCTCAGGAGAAGGGAGAAAGAACAGAGATTTACTTGAGCTTTCCAACTCAGTGTGCCTCTGTTTTCCTTTGACAGGAAATCGATGATTGCCTGGTCCAAGCAAAAGACCGAAGTTATGATGCCCTCGTGCACTTTGGGAAGCGAGGCTTGAACGTGGCGGCCACGGCGGCGGTGATGGCCGCTTCCAAGGTACCATGCTGGGACCTGACCGCCATGGCTGTAACTTGCCCAGAGACAGGCTAAGGACCGATCAGGTTCCTCATCCTTTTTGGGGTCCCATTGAAAATCTGAGGGGAAAAAGGGTGAATCTTGCCCCCAGAAAACTGCACACCCCCACACACAGATGATTTATGCAATATTGAGAGGTTCCCCGAGCCCCTGAAGCTCATCTGTGCGTCTCAAGGACCTCTAAAGTACTTGGAGTGTAATCCTTGGACGCAGAGAAGAGAGAAGGGGAGGGGAGGGAGCTCTTCTCTGCAATTTCCTAGGGTGCACTGGGAGAGTCACCTAAATAGACAGGTGCAGAGACTTATTACCTGAGTGAGTGGGTGCACTCCATGCTCACGTGGCCCCACAGATCCAGGGGAAGGAACCCAGGGTCCTAGAATAAGTTGAGTGGTTCAAACGTGGAGGACAATGATATGTGTAGCAGCAGTAACTAGAGGTAGAGGAGGTTTGAAATAAATACTGGTCTTGTGGGATATTGTGATATAAGCAATTACTTCCTTCTTTTTTCCACCCAGCCCTGTTCAAAGGCCCTCTGTGTTCCTTCCCAGCTTCCTCTCCCATTACATTCTCCTTGTCGCTTTGTCAGTTTCTCGTTATGTGCTCAGCCCTGAAAAATTAAATTGGTAGATGTTTACTCTCAGAGCAAATTCAGCAGATTGCCCTAGTGTTTCCTGGTGACAACACCTTCCTCCAAATCCAAAGGTACAGTAGGGGTCTACAGTTGGCTGAGGGTGGAGGAAAGGCAGTTATGCTTATGTCTGGAGAGATACAATGGTTGGGAGGTGAGCTGTATTAGCAAAGGGAAGCCATGAATCCTGGGTGGCCATGTGAGGGTTTGGGGGAAAGAGAGGGTAGAGCTGTGAAAGTGTTTGGAAGAGGACAATTAATACAGATCTTCGTGCTCCATGGGCTCCCAGTGGATGGTGGGATGGAGGGTGTTGATAGCCAGTTGGGTCAGGGGACTGAGCTGGGTTTTCTGGGCCCTGAACCAGGGAGAGGCACTTTAGGAGCATTTCTGGGAGGAAAACTTAGCACACAGGGCTGGGAGTTTGAAAAGCACCTTCCACATAAAGTCAAGGAGTTCTGCAGACAAAGGCTGGCGGGGAGACAGGAGAACCAAAGGGGAGTGATTCCTATTTCAGAGAAGGACCAGATGCTTCTGTAACACAGAACCATAGTGAAGTGTTCCGCTGGTACCTGGAGGGTCCCTGTCCACCTTGGGTACAATAGTAGCTGGCAAAGTGGTGAATCCCAATGAGTATCATCGGAGGGGAAGTTCCGCTTTGGTATCTGGAGGAGACGTATCAGGATTTACAAAGAGCAGTGAATTCTAAGATCCTTCTGTTTGAGATGCAATCGTTTTAGGCTTTTGTGTTTAAGCTGACAGAAAAGAGAACTCAGAATTGCTAAATTCTGAATTCATCAGGCTAACTTTGCCACATAAAGCTACAGAGGCCTCCCAGGCCCTCTCCCCACCCCATCTTTGCTTCTGCACCTGAAGGAATATAGGTTAGTGCTCTTTTCTCAGCTCAGTTGTAGAGCATCAGTGTGGTATATTTATCAGGGTGGCTCAGTACAGGTCACCAGGCCACTCAGCTGTGTGTGTAAATTATATTCTTATGGTAATTCTGTAGGGCCGTCCTCTTCCAGGTCTGCCTCAAGCTGGAGCCTCCTGAATCTTGGCCAGTCACCGCCAGTCCCTCTGACCACCGGGGAAGCCCATGAGCCTAGGCCTCCAGCCGGGCACCTTACAACTAACCTGAAGGAAGCTCTAGATAGTCTGAAACTTGCCTCAGAAAATAACTGCTCATTAGTTCTTTCTAGTTGGGCTAAAGTAGTGAGGGATGCCTGCTTCCTGCTGAATTTGGTTTCAGACAAGAAAATTTTCTGCCTTGTGGGGGCTTTGCTTTTCCTCTCTAAATATCTTGAGAGAGAAAACACTCTTCTTTCCCCAAAATAATGCCCTCTGTTTTTGAAACAGATGTGTACTTTAAAAAAGAAAAGAAAAGAAAAAGAAGAAGTAAAATTCAACCTGGCTGAGGGATAGATCAGTGGTTTCCATAGTAACAGTGGACCACTCCAGGCCGCAGCCAAAGGATGATAAGTCACCACTGGGTTCAAATCTGGCTTTAGTATCCAAACCACCTGGGAAGCTTTGTTTTTCATTTTTAAACAGATTCTCAGATGTGCTGAATCAGAATCTCAGGCAGTGAGCCCTTGAATCTCTATTTTTAACAAGTTCCCCAGATGATTTTTAAACAGCCAACTCGGACTCCCCTGGTGGCTCAGTGGTTAAGAATCTGCCTGCCAATGCAGGGGACACAGGTTCGAGCCCTGGTCCAGGCAGATCCCACATGCCGCGGAGCAACTAAGCCTGTGCGCCACAACTACTGAGCCTGCACTCTACAGCCAGCAAGCCACAACTACTGAGCCTGTGTGCCACAACTACTGAAGCTCCTGCGCCTAGAGCCCTTGCTCCCCAACAAAGAGAAGCCAACTTGATGAGAAGCCCTTGCACTGCAACGAAGAGAAGTCCCCACCCACCACAACGAGAGAAAGCCTGCGTGCAGCAACAAAGACCCAACGCAGCCAAAAATAAATAAACAAAATAAATAAATATATTTTAAAAAATAAGTAAATAAAGTAAACAGCCACCTCTTTACAGGTCCCTGCCTGAGGGCCCATCCAGAACCATACACCACAGGTGATGAGGGTTAAAACAGTTAACTTTTTTCTAACATTCCTGGGATGCAGATTTAGCTGCTTAGAAGCATTAACCTTGAGAATGAGAAAGCTGAGTCCAGAACAACCTTGTCGATTACCCCCAGGGGAACAATCAAAGCAATTTTGTGAAAAAAAGACACTCTGCCCAGTCACAGTGGCTAGGGTGACCATATACTGTTCAAACAGGACACATCTGAGAGTGAAACGGTGCTGTAATTATTATGCTGGGACAACAGGTAGAAACTAGGTTTGTTCCAAGCAAACCGGGGTTTATGGTCGCCCTCCTCATGGCTCCATTTTACGTCTCTTGGACCCTGCCTGTCTCCTCCCAGAAAACACCCTCAGCCTACAAATCAGTTCTCACGGTAAATATCCGCTGCATTTAGCCAAACAGTTGCAGGAGAGAGGGTGAGGTGACTGAGAGCCTCCCTCTGAGCTCAGACAGATTGAAGGGAGACTGGGACCAGGGGACCGGATGAGTGCGGTCACTCCTTCCTCATCTGCTCTATTTTCCATCCTTTGGTGGCTCCCCAGGAGGAAACTGCAGAACTTAACCAGAAGAATGAAAGATCTTCTGCCTCCACTTTTAGTTAATCCTTTTTTTCCTTATAACTTTGAACCCTGAGCCCTTTCTCTAAAAAAATGAATGTTTGCAGGGTTTTTGGATCATCATGAAGTGTGAAGAAGCTTTGTAAACCATATCATTGTACAAATATAAGTTGTTATTAATGTTAATGTTTTATCTTAGAATAGAAAAGCTAAAACAAACAAACAAAATTACACGTTGGAAATTTCTCCCCAGGCCTATTAACCCCCAGCCCACCCCCCAGTTTTCCCCAAGGTCTAATCCTTGTCCCCGGGAAGTAGTGATGCATTTTTTCTTTCAGCAAAAGCTGCTCTGTCTCCTTCCTAGGGACACACCTCGGTAGTACCTTCTTTCTAAGTGTCCCTAGTCTCTTGACTGGCTCTGAGCTTAGATATTAGCTGTTTCCCAGCCAGTAATTCCACCCAGAGGGAAAATTGAGTGCCACGTCTTTTTAAGACTAGAATTGGAAATCTCTCGCTTTTTAAAATTAATGCTCTAGAAACTCATTAGTTAAGCAAAACACATTCTCACGGGAAGAGAAACAATAGTGAGAAAAACCAATTGATCAAGAGTTTTAAAACTGTCAGGTAGTTTTAAAACTGACTTCCCTGGCGGTCAAGTGGTTAAGACTACGCCTTCCAATGCAGGGGGTGTGGGTTCGATCCCTGGTCGGGGAACTAAGATCCCACATGCCTCGTGGCCAAAAATTAAAAACATAAAAAAAAAACCAGAAGCAATATTGTAATAACTTCAATAAGGACTTGAAAAATGGTCCACATAAAAAAAATCTTCAAAAAAATCCCCCCAGACTGTGAGGTATCCAGGCCACCTTATTCCCCTTGCCATTTGAACCATATCCTAGGCCTCTTCCACCTGCCCACTTCTCAGGCCTGGTAAACCAATCTTGCTTTTGACCTGTCTCATAACTTGAAAAATAATGCCCTTTTACTTCCCCTGGAGATCCTATCCCTAGAACAGTTCCAGTGCTGACAATAGTGTTATTAAAGTCACCTGTTTAAGACAGCCGGTCTAAGTAAAGCTGGCGTTCTGTGAATTAGGGATGCTTCTTCCCCAGACTGCGTGTGGGGTTTTTCCCCCCCAGAATCTAGTATTTCCTGTTAGATTGTGAGCTTCTGGCCATGAGTGACTCTGGATTCTTTTCCTTTGTTTCTTGCTTAGCAAAAACCCAAAACCCAAAACCAAACTTTGCTAACTTGTCTGGTGTTTTGCACTCATTAAACCTCGTTGATGGATCAGAAGAATAAACTTTTTGATGCCTCCACTCCTGCTCTGCCCGAAATGGTAGGCACTTGCCATGTGTGGCTATTTAAATTAATTGAAATGAAGTAAATTTTAATATTCAATTCCTCAGTCTTTACTCACCCGCTTTCAAGTCCTCAGCAGCCAGTGTGGCTGGTGGCTGACACAGGGATAGAACGTTCCCACCATCGCAGAAAGTTCTCTTAGGCAGCACTGTCCCAAGCCTTCTGTTAAGCCTCTTGGGTTCTCCTTTGCCTTATTTCCATCTTCTCGCCTGCAGTGCTCTGCTTTGACAAGGGCCCCTCCCTTACCCACTTAGCCCTTTGGGGCCTCTGTATATGAGGTTCACGAGGAAAATGGGCAGATGGAGACTCAGCCTGCGGCATTGCCC